CCCCCCCCACCCCCACCTTCCTCTCTGGTAACCACCAGTTTGTTGCCTACATTTCAGAGTGGTTTTTGGTTTGTCTCTTTTGTTTCTTTGCTTGTTTTCTTTCTTAAAGTCCACATATAAGTGAAATCATATGGCATTTGTCTTTTCTCTGACTTCTTTTGCTTAGCATAATGCTCTCTGGCTCCATCTTGCAAATAGCAAGATTCCATTCTTTTTTTATGGCTGAAAAATAATCCGCTGTATATATTCACCACCTCTTTTTTTTATCTACTCATCAATCGACGGACATTGGTTTGCTTCCATATCTTGGCTATTGTAGATAATGCTACTATATACACGTAGGGGTGCATATATCCCTTTAAACCAGTGTTTTTGTACTCTGGGTAAATACCTAGTAGTGTAATTATTGGATCAAAGGGTAATTCTATTTGTAAGTTTTTGAGGAATCTCCATATTGTTTTCCACAGTGGCTGCACCAGTTTGCATTCCCACCAAGAGTGCAAAAGGGTTCCTTCTTCACGTCCTCGCCAACACTTGTTATTTCTTGTGTTTTTGATTTTAGCCATTCTGACAGGTGTGAGGTGATGAGGACTCATTGTGGTTTTGATTTGCACTTCCCCGAAGATGAGTGGTGTTGAGCATTTTTCATGTGTCTGTTGGCCATTTGTATGTCTTCTTTGGAGACATGTCTGTTCATGGGTTCTGTCCATTTTTAATTGGATTATTTGTTTGTTGGGTGTTGAATTGTGTAAGTTCCTTTTTGGATACTAACCTTTTATTGGATATGTCATTGACAAATATCTTCTGCCATTCAGTGGGTTGTCTTTTAGTCTTGTTGACTGTTTCCTTTACTGTGCAAAAGCTTTTCATTTTGATGTCGTCCCAGTAGTGTATTTTTGCTTTTGTGTCCCTTGCCTCCGGAGACGTATCTAGAAAAATGTTGTTACGGCTGATGTCAGGGAAATGACTGGGCTCTCTAGAACATTATTTCTATAACTGTTCTGGTACACATCTACCAGAGTATAACTTTCAGGAGGACAGGGACCTGACCGGTTTTGTTCTCTACTGTATCCCTTTTGCCTAGAACAAGGAGTAGGACATAGTAGGTGCTGATTAAATATGTGTATAACAGATAAATGTTAGAAGCAAAAAAAAAGGTTTCACACATTAAACTTACAAATGTGGAAGCTGCAGTAAAGAAGTTATTTACGTAATATTTTCATTAAGTTATACAATTATAAATTATGTCCTTCCTTTCTTGAGGAAAGAATAACCCATCAGGGCTTCCTGCTATTTTAGCTCAGGACATGAACAGGAAAGAGGGAGATAGCGAACCCACTCGTTTTGAGTCAGGCACTGTGATAGGCACTTCTCATTTCAGCTTCAAAGCAGTTCTGTGCAGTGCATTGTATTTATCCTACTTTAGATCTGAGAACGCACACGCCCAGAGAGGTTAAGCCACTTGCCTCACGTTTCATAGCTTCTAAGTGGTGATTCAAATTTAAAGTCAGACTGACCCCAAAGACCCAGTGCCTTTTCAACTGCACCATGCTTCCCCTGGGTATTATACATTCATGAAACTTTGGTCATGTTAGATAAATCCCACTGTCTAGGATCATTACCTTGTCTGTCATCTGATGTAACCCTGATGGAATAAGTGAGGACAGAAAACATCAGTGATTCTTCTGAATCCACTCTGTTTAGGAATAGAATCAGCTCCATGTTTCCTTCTTTTCTGACTCCATTTTCCTCCTTTGTAGCCCGGTCACTGAACTCATAGCCAGAAAGTACTTTTTTCCCACCACTGTCTTTCTCATCAAACACATCATCGGGTTCTGGTCTTTTGTCTGCTTTTTCTTCCCCATTGTTTTTTAAACATTTATTTATTTTTTGAGGGACAGAGACAGAGTACGAGCAGAGGAGGGGCTCCAGGCTCTGAACTGTCGGCACAGAGCCCGATGCCAGGGCTTGAACCCACGAACCATGAGATCATGACCTGAGCCAAAGTCAGATGCTTAACTGACTAAGCCACCCAGGAGCCCCTGTCTGCTTTTTTAAAAAAATCTGTTTGTTTCATAAAACTTGTTGGTTTGATTTCTGTCCTCTTCTGTTTTGGAAAATGGTAGTGGCTTGATATGCAAACTGCGTGACTTTCAGTGTGGAAAACATGTTCTTTAAATTTCAGAATGGAACATAAAGGTATTGGTAAGGCTGTGATTACCAGGCATTAAACTGAGGAAACTGGAGGGTATTGTTGTGACTTGATTCCTAACAAGGCCAAAAATTTAGAAGACTTGCTGGGGAGAGAGGGCCCTTAGCATCGAGAAGTGGTACCTTGAACTCTAGGAAATTACTAAATATCCCACTTGGTTTGGTTAAAAATTGCCTTAGAATTCACCACACTCCAGTCTATTGGATAGAAGTGGTTCTTCCTTTTGCTATGTCGGTATCATACAAACTCCACACTCTGGCCTTGGGACAATTTCAGTGATACTAGATATGAAGTTAGAAACTCTTATCAAAAGATTCTCTTGTGTTGGAACCCCACTTAATCCGAGGAGAGGTTTTAGTCCTCCACTTCTGTATTTTATACCCAGAAGGAGAGAGAATATCGATATTCTTATGTAGATGTAAGAATTGAAAGGTGCATGACTAGAATATAGCTTTCTTGGGGATGGGGACAGGACTGCTCTGGGGAGGTCACTGAGTGAAAGATTATAACTGGAATCTTCTGAATTGCTGTCAGAATCGGCCAGGGATAAATTGGCGAGCAATTGTGTTGGGCACTTGAGATTTTAATTTCTTAGGAAGAGAGGTTGAGAGTATTAATTACAATTACTAATTCAAGAAACCCTGTATCTGTGAGTGTTTTTAGCTGCAGCGAGATCTCTACTGTAGCTAGTTAAGCAGAAAGGGGGTTATTCAAGGGTATTATATAGCTCACTAGAATTTCCAGAAGGGCCAGAAGATTTGAGTTGGATCCAATAATATGACAGCAGAAGGCAACAGAACTAAGAGAAATGTCTAATCATGCCAAACGTGACTGATGTAGCAGAAGCCCTGCTGCTAAAATTACCCACAGTTCAGCACACGTGCTAAGAACTGAACACTGGAAACACCATACCTTTGCCCTCAAAACTAGTTACGTCTGCTCCTTTCTTGCCCAAGTACCCAATCTCCCCAAATTTGGCCCCTTTTTTTCTGGTTGCTGACCGCTACCTCTAAGACTCAAAACGTGCCTGCTTGATGGAAACTGGGCCACATATAAAATCCTCCTGCAAGGGACTCTGGGAAATATGTCTTTAACTTTCAAAACTCTGCCTATAAGTGTGAGAAGAGCAGCTGAAGGGGTTCTTGAGTTGGTATTGAGTGAGCAGTTGGCCAGGGAGTGTGCGGGAACGTTGGAATGTGTTGAAGTATGCGACCAAACTGAACCTAACCCTTACTCGTATTGATGACATTTCTTGGAGAAGTTGCTAAGAGTATCCTCTATTGGTAGAGTTATCCCACTGTAAAGAGAGTTGGGTCTCTCCTTGTTGGAACCACCAGGAGGTGTTTTTTGTCAAGTCATTACACTCTTTTCAGTTTGAACAAAATCTGCGGGGATGACTGAGCTGTGGACAAGTAATAAAAAAGTAGGAACCATGGCCAGTCTGTGCTGACAGTGCTGCTTACCTGATCAGAGCAGAGAAGCCTTCAGAGGGCAAATAACCTGTCTCTAAACCACAGTGTTTCTCAGTAGTCCCCTTGGAGAACGGGCTTACTATAGAATTAGAAGATGGCCACCTGTGAGAGAGCTGTGGTCCTATGGGCAGACCTGTCTGTGTGAGCAGGTGCCGCCCAGTGGAGTAGGCTTCTGGTGGTTATCACTGGAATGCAGAGTCTAAGCTGAGGCTGAGTAGGGGCTTGTGCAGAAGGCTTTCATACAAGCTGAGATTTTCCTAGGGACTGCTGCATCTGATGTGGCCTAGTGATTATCTTGGAACATTCTAGAATCTTGACCTGTTGAAATGGAAATTATTAGCTGTTACTATTTAAACAAGACACGTGAATAAAGGATATTGTGGGGTACCTGGGTGACTCAGCTAAGCGTCTGTCAATTTGGGTCATGATTTCATGGTTCGTGGGATTGAGCCCAATGTTGGGATCCAAGCCCTGCTTGGGATTCTCTGTCTCTCAAAAAAAATGGGGGTATTGTGAACCCTTTTTTTTTTTATATTGATAGGCCAGATGACATTTGTGTCCGCCTCCAAGTTTGCCTGGCAGAAGGGTACTGTGGGACAGGCAGAGGTGGGAGCACATGAGCGGGTGTCTGTGCTACAGGTTGGTCAGGGAACAATGTCAGTCCTCCTGCTGTCCTGTCCACCAGTTCATGCTCTGCTGTTACCAGATCCTCCTTAAATTCCCCTGCTCATGAGAACCCCAGTTCCTTTTTTTTTCTTCCTAGCTATTTCTAAAAGTTTTGCCATCTCGCTCCTCTTTTTTTGGACAGTTGCCTGGCTCTCTCTTAGGTCTGACAATTTGTCTTTAAAGATCAAAAGAACGGCAACTGTTTAAGTGCAAGACTCAGCTGTGTGCAGGGCATAGCACTTGGCAGACGATTGAAAGGGGCTCAGTAAAGGGATATTCCCAGCGTTCTCAGCTCCCCCAATGCTAAATAGATTTTTCTGTTACTGAAACTCCCAACAATTCTTTCTGGATTCTGGGCTCCGACATCCCTTAGCAATGAACATGCCCACACTCTGTGGATGAGTTTAGCTCGGCTGAGAGACTCTGTGCTATGTTAAGAGAGGTGAAAGGGAGTCTGGGACCCGCTCCCTTCTTCCTGAGACCCTGACAGGGCTCGTGGTTGCTACCCTTGCATTTTTCCAGAAAGAGAAGCCTGGGGAACTTTGCAGGGATTTTGTTCTTCTGGATCAGAGGGAAACACTCTGATGTGGTTAGGTCTTAAGGTTTGATTTCTTCTTTATTCTGCTGTGGAAGAGTCTGTCAACATCTGTATTTCCCATTCATGATACTGTCATTGAAGGTAGAAAGTCTAATTCTGCCCCTTTCTTATTAGAAGAACAGTTTTGTCTTCTGTAAATGAGAGTCTACAATGAATACCTCAGTTAATGACAGGAAGATGTGAAAATGCTGAATAAATGTGCAGTGATTTTAAGACTGTTTCCTTCCTTCCAAATGAAATTCTTGAGGTGGGTGTTTCCCTCACTACCTTTCTGGGCAAAAGAACTATGGTGATAACAGCAGTAGTAATTATAATTAATATTTTTGGGGAGACTGAGATGTTTTGAATACATGTTAGTACATTGCATATACCTTGTGTCATTGAATAATCACAGAAACTCTGTGAAATAGTCACTATCGTCATTCCTAATATTACATATGAGGAAACTGAGCACAGAGACGTTAGATGCTTAGCATGAGGTTGTACAGCCAATAAGCGGAGGGGCCAGGCTTAAAAACAAGGCAGTCCTGCCTCTAGACCTCCAGCATTATGCGCAACAACCCCTTTTCCTGTATCTCCTCCATACAGGTACCTCGGTTCCTTATCTAAGAAGGAATGAATTTCAGACCCAGTGCTAAAATCCCTCTTTTATCATAGCTTTCCATCAGCAACAGAATCAGATCCTGGGTCTTTCGCAGGACATCTTGCGCAGGCATCATCTGGCTTCCTTCTTGCCTGATCCCTGCTCCAGACATTGCCCATAATATCCACCCAAGTCACTCCACACCCTGGAGATGGATGGCTGAATGGCCCATGCATTCTTACATATCCACCTCTCTGCGCTTGTAGTTTGAGAAACCTGAAACCTCCTCTCCTTCTGTATTTCATACATTTCATTCTGTAAAATCTGGTGTGTTCATTTGGCAAGTATTTATTGAGTGGGTACTATGTGCTCAAGTTTGCACCAGGGATAAGCTACTGACCTATGTGGACCCATAGTGTGGTGGGAAAAGCAGAAGGATAAATCCTAAGGTACTGCCGAGAGTGACAGATGTTATGAAAGAGAGAAGCATACGGTCCTCTGGCATTATTTCCTCTTATTCATTTATTTATAAGAGCTATGAAGAGCCTGCAATGGAGCAGGCCATACGTCAGGTGCTGGTGATATTAATCAAGTTTCCTCCTCTCCTATTATTAGGTTCCAGTGGTGGTGGAGGGTAGGCAATAGTGACAAAAACAATTCAGAACTAAAATAATGACTACATATTGGAGTAAACGGTCTTAAAAACTAAAGAACCAAGTGGTAGAGCAGCTGGGGTCTGGCGGGGGGACTAAGTAAGGTAGAGAAACCAGGGAAAGCTTCTTGGAGAGGTAAGTTTTTGAACTTGGTCTTGAATACAGAGCAGGAGCTAGCCATGCTAGTTTCTAGATAAAACAAGGGCAAGTGCAAAGTCCCTGGGGCCAAAAAGAGCTTGTTTTATTCAAGGACTAGAAGAGAGATCAGTGTGAACATTTGCTAGACTTCCCTTCCCAAGCATTAGGTTGTTGCCTGCCTGCAGGACTGGCTCCTCGGGTAAGACACCGTTCCTCTGTAGTGAGTGAGTCTTTGCCTCTCTCGATGCTGAGCCTCTTGAGGGCAGGAGCCACATCTCATTCACCTTTTAAGGTGCCACGTCTCATAGTTCCTAGTCCATGAGAGGAATTCAGTGAATAGTGCTGATTTGAAGGAATGAATCAAGGCTGCATTGTCCTGGTCTGGCTCACATCATTTATTCACTCCCTTCAAGTGTAGAGAAATCACTGTCGAGGCACAGTTCACGCACCTGGAAGAGGAGTCATGTAGATGGTTTACTCCCTTCCTTATGGAAGGAATTTTCATCTTTATTGCTGGGACAGGTGGGAGAACTAGGAACTATAAATATTTGCAGGGTGTATTTCACACTGTGGGTCTGGTTTCATCTCCCTTGGTAAACTCCACGCACAGAGCCTCATTAGTTGTGCACACACAAAACAGCTATATAATAATTAGTATTAAGGAAGGGTGAATAATAGAACAGTGTTGACACAAATTAGTTACTGGGTTGAGGGACCTTTTTTTTTTTACGCCCCTGAAGCTTTTTTTTTTTACATTTCTCTCTTCTAACTTCTGGACTGAGAATTTCTGCTTCGTGTTTTAAGTTGTGGCTCTCGTCATCAGCGTTTTTGAGCAACTTAAGTATTTATAAGGCGACGGGCTTTGCGCTAAGCTCTTGGTGTGCCATGTCTCACTTAATCCCCGCAGCAGCCCCAGAGAGTTCTGCTTGCATTTTACAAACGGGGCGCTAAGGTGGCAATTTGCAGCAGGTCCCCCAGCCCTTGAGGGGTCAGGTTTGAACTTGAACTCAGTCCTTTGGCCGTGTTCTGTCACAGTAGAGCTTCCCATCCGAGTGCTCCCTCTGGCATCTCTTGGGATATTCCGAACGAAACTAGTAATTTTGGAGTGTGTTTCTACGGGAACCCTACAACATTACCAGAAGCATGTTTGGGGTCATTTGTGATTGAGTCGTGTCAGGTAGTTTTTGGCTCAAGCCTGTCTCTGTGTAGTAAGTGCGCTTAAGCAAAGAATGGGCTTCGTGCTCCATTTCACAGGCTGGGGGTCCTCCAAAGGGGCTCCCTTCCTCTAGAGTCAGAGCTAGCAGTCCAGTGGAGCCCGTTAGCCAGCGGCCTCGCAGGCCGGACCCCGAGCTGGATTCGGGATTGCCTCCTCGTCCCTGTGAGTCATAGTGACGCTGGTGTCTCAGCACAAGGATCTGAGGCACTGCTGTCCGGTAATCAGTGAGGCCACTTCCCACACTCAGTGACTCCAGCCGGCTTTGCGTGGATGCAAGGCCTCTGGGAACCCTCAGGGAAATTAAAGCGGTCTGGCTGTTGCTCAGCACAGGAGGCAGGGAAAAGGCAAAAGGAAAGGCTTTTCCCAGAGGGGTAAACAATATTTGTACAAGAGCTCATCAGAAATGCAAAGAGCAAAAAGCAGGTAAAACTGTTCCCAGTGTCCCACTTCTCAGGCACACGGGGGACAAGACCCGGAGCGGTTGACTGTAGGTTGCCATATTCATTGGCTCGTGCAAGGCTTTCGATTATTATTATCATTAATAGAAACGCCTATTTTCAGATCTTTACCCAGACACACAAAAGCATTAAGTTAAGCTGCTGTGCAGGCTTCTTTCTAAAAAGAAGTTTGGGGGCACCTCTTCAGGTCTGACCTTCGCTGCTGCTAGAGTCAGAGCACTGGGTACATGGGGGCGAGAGGTATCAGGCAGCAGAGAAATCTGGAAGACACGTATGGAGATGGGCGAACTGGTAACTGCAGGGAGCATGTGCAAAACTAATAATGGGCATAAAATCCTGTATTTCATACTACCAAAGTCACATACTTAAATGATACATATTTAAAATTCTGGAGGACTCGTTTAGGACACAAAAAAACATGCGTTTTGACCTCTGTGACTAAGGAGGGCGCTCTGAAAGCTATACAAAAATGAAAACGAGATATCCAATTCACCGATGTATGCATTACCTGGCACTCGTGTAACAAAGTACCTCAGCCTGTGTGACTTCAACAACAGAAATTTATCTTTGCACGGTTCTGTAAGCCAGAAGTCTGAGATCAAGGTTTCTGTGGGGTTGATTTCTTTCCAAAGGTCATGTGGGAAGGATCTGTTCAGGCCTCTTTTTTCAACTCATAGATGGTCGTCTTGTCCCTGTCTTCCCCTAGTCTTTTCTCTACGTGTGTCTGTTCAAATTCCCTCTTCTTCTGAGGACACCAGTTATATCCGGTTAGGGCCCACCCTCATGACCTCATTTTAACCTGATTACCTCTGTAAGGACTGTCTCTCCAAATATGTTCACATTCTGAGGTGTGAAGGTCAGGCATTCAATATGAAATTTTGAGGGGGACGTGATTTGGCCCCTAACAACTGATTCATAACACCTGACATGTAGAAGCTGTTGGAGCCTAGAAGAAAAATCTATGGGGAAGCAAATAAGAAATGATCGATGGAGCCTTCCCTACTGAAATTTTAAATGTTTCAGACTTGAAACTTGCCCCGTTTGACATAAACCAAAATCTGATCTTCCAGTAGCACTGGTAATGTAATGTTAAACATCAGCAAATCATGGTGTGCTAAGTGGGAACTACTTATCATTGGTTATAATAATATACTTCATTTCTGGCCTAGGCTACCAATACAATTGATAAGACTTGATCATATGATAAATTTTCTATCTGTGCCCTCATTACCGCAGAAACAAGCTTTTGAACACTTACATATCATCTCAAGAATAAATGTTCTTCTTTCCGGTCTCTGACGTAGGCCTCAGAAATGCATGCTCTTGGGGCGCCTGGGTGGCTCAGTCGGTTAAGCATCCGACTTCGGCTCGGGTCATGATCTCATGGTCCATGAGTTCGAGCCCT